GGGCTCGAGGGTGGTGGAGGCCGTGGTGGTGGTGGCCGGGGTGGTGGAGGCCGCCACGTGGAGCCCCGCGAGCAGGAGGCAGAGCAGAGCGCGGGGCATGGCGAGCGGCTCCAGCAGCGCCTGGCGTGGCGGGGACGCAGCGCGTGAGCGGCCGCAGCCCCCGCGTCCCCCCCGGCCCCGGCCCCGCTCACCTGCGACACGAGCCCGGCCGGACGCAGCCTCCGCGTGGCCGCCCCGGCCCCCGCGGCCCCTTTATAGCCCCGGGCCCTTGCGACACCTGGAGCATCCCGGCCCCTTCCTCGGAACAGAGGTCGCCGCCCCGGCTTGCGCAAAGCGCCGGCCTTCCCGCTTTCGCTTTGCTTCGCTCTTTCTCTTTCTGTTCTCTTTTTTATTTTATTGCATCTCTTGCTTCTTTGTAAAAAGGAACGTTGGAAAAGACAAAAAGCCGCCGGCCGCAGCGCCCTCCGAGGCGGCAGCTCCCGGGGGACGGGAGCGGGGCAGAGCCGGGCGCTGCGCCCCCCTGCCCCGATAGCGGCTGCGGATCCCGCAGGAAAACCCCAGCGCTCCCGGCGGGGCAGCGCGCGAGGAGCGGGGTACGCGCGAGGAGTGGGGTGCGCACGTTTCTCAATCCTCCTCGTCCTCCTCCTCCTGCACGTGCCGGATTCGCTTCCGCCGGCCCCGCGCCTGCGGCTCCTCATCCTCGTCTTCCTCCCCGTGGGGCCCCGCGGCGCCCGAGCTGGTGCCTGGGGGGAGCGAGGGGCTCAGGGGGCCGGGCCCCCCAGCCCCGCTCTGCGCGGGGGTCCGGGCGCCGGGCGCCTCACCGGGGCCGCTGTCCTCGTCCTCGCTGTCCCCCAACCAGCGCCGCTTGGTGCCGCCGGGGCCGGGCTGCTCCCTGCGACCAGGGCACGGGTCAGGGGGCACCGGGAGCTGCCCCAGCCCCCGAGGGCAGGGGGGACCCGGCCCCCTTCTCACCTCTCCGAGTCCGAGCCCGGCGACGCCGGGGGCCGCCCCCCAGATTGGGGTGACGGGGGGAGCGGGTCGGGGCTGCTGCGGGGGCTGGGCCCCGCGCCCCGGGGGGGGCTCCGCGGGGCCGGCGCCGGGGGGCTCCCCGGGGGCCCCTCGGGGCGGGCGAGGGAGGCGGCCGCGCGCCGGAGCTGCCG